AACCCTTTGAATGTCCTGACTGTGGGAAACGTTACAGTCAGAATTCCCACCTGGTGCTACACCAAAGGACTCACATCGTGGAGAAATCTTTCAATTGTCCAGTCTGTAGACTTTGTTTCAAGCATAAATCATCCTTTATTGCACACAAGGTAATCCATATGAGGAAAAAGTAGATGAGTTTGGAGAATGCTGGAATTTCATTTGTGATCTCCCTTTGAAACTGTAGATGAGAAATTGATAGCTTGAATTGTTTGAAAATTTGTTCACCCTAATCTAGTAAATCTTCAGAAGTAATTTAATATATAATGACATTTTGAATGTGGAAGGGGAACTAAAAACTAAACAAGAACTACAGAAACAGGGTATTGATTCATCGTGGTGGCCACATATGCAAATGCAATCAAGATATGAGAAAGATGTTAAGATATATGACTTTTATAAAGAGAAAACAACTTTTGATCAAATACTGTCAGCTGTGGATGAAAAGTTAATCAAATTATATAATTTTTATTAAGCTTAAAATTGAAGATGAACAGGTAAAAGAGACAATGACAGTTTGGGCAAAATTTTTTGAATATACCATAGCATAACACAATCGGCAAAGACTCTGGGGAGAAAAACTATAAATTGTTGATGGCAACTATGTAGAAGGAAAATCTGTATAAAATGTTCTATAGATGGCACCACCAGCAAGGCTAGCAAAAATGTTTAAAAACATGTCCACCAAATGTTAGAAATATAATCAAATACCAGGCACAAATAATCACATGTGGTGGACATGTCCAAAGGCAAAAAAAAATTGAATGAAAATGCATATGTGGTTAGGAAAAATGTTAAGGCAGCATATAGATTATAAGCCAGAACTATTTTTGTTAGGCATAATACCAGAAAAAAAAAACAATAAAGGGAATGCATATTTAATATTACATGTTTTGACAGTTTTTGTATTTGCACAATACTGGAAAAACAAGGAAACGCAGAAGAAGCTATAATGAAAAAAATATTAGACTGTGTAGAAATGGGCAGACTAGCACTGAAGATAAAAGAAAAAGAAGACAGAATATTTTCAAAGTTGGGACTTGTTTTATCAATACAGGTAGAAATTAGGTACTTAAAAATATTACTGTATAACCAAATTGACTCAGACATTATGCAGTTCACTAAGCACTTATTATATGTAAAGAGAAAATATATAAATAAAAAAAGAAACTGGGGGAGAAATTGATTGTTTCAATTTTGGCCTGATTCATTTTACTCAAACAGTTCTTAGGATTAAATTAGTTGGAGAGAAAAGGGAAATGGAAAATGGCTAACTACTAGTTTTTGGTTATCAGCAGAAGTTTCTGGATATTTCCTTTTCCAGAAGTTGTGGAATTCCTCAAAAAGGAATTTTAGGTGGAGCTTTTTTGTATGTTGATTATGTAATTCCCACATATAGAGTTTCAGTCTTCTACATTGGTTTCGCCCAGATTTTGAGCCCCCGAATTCCCCAGCCAGCATAAAAGTAATCCTCAAGATACAACTATTATGGGCCTTGCAATTACGGTTGCATGTTGCAAAGACTGTTAAGTGAGACAGCTTTCCTTAACTACTCGAATCCCCCTGCTCTCCCTGAGGCAGCCATTAATTGAATGTGTGAGTTGCTAAACAGAATACTCGCTACCTCAGGGCTGGGGAAAACTCTTAGAGGCCTAGAGCAGGGCCAGGCTTGCCTGCCACAGGCATCCCTGGGGCTCCCCCACCACCCTCCAAGACTCCCTATGTTCTGTTTCCCATCCCTGCCCCTTCCCTCAGCTCCCCAGAGCCAGAACCTCTCTCCGAGGAATCTCAGCACAGTTAACCAAGTTTCCACAATTTATTCTCCGCTCACAATTAACACTAAGATGGTTTCTCCCAGAATTCCCCAGCCAGCATGCTTTAAGAGGGGTGGACTTCAACTCCCAGAATTCCCCAGCCAGCATGCCTTAAGTGGACTTCAATCCCCAGAATCCCTCAGCCAGCATGCTTTAAGAAGGGAGGACTAACTCCCAGAATTCCCCAGCAAGCATGACTTAAGAGGGATGGACTTCAACTCCCAAAATCCCCAGCTAGCATGCTTTAAGAGGGATGGACTAACTCCCAGAATCCCCCAGCCAGCAAGAAATCTATTCCTCTTAAAGTATGCCGGCTCTGGAATTCTGGGACTAGAAGTCCTCCCCTCTTAGCATCCTGGCTAGGGGATTCTGGGAGTTGAAATCCTCCCCTCTTAAAGTACCCTGGCTGGGGGATTCTAGGAGTGGAAGTCTTACCCTCTTAAAGCATCCCAGCTGAGGGATTCTGGGAGTAGAAGTCCTCCCCTCTTAAAGCACCCTGGCTGGGGGATTCTGGGAGTTGGAAATCCTACCCTCTTAAAGCATCCTGGCTGGGGGATTCTGGGAGTAGAAGTCCTCCTCTCTTAAAGCATCCTGGCTGGGGGATTCTGGGAGTTGAAGTAAAGAACTCTGTTCCAACTGCCAGTTGCCTCACATTCTGTTACCTCAGTTCAAACTGGAAGACATTTTACTCCTTCATTCAGGAGTAGTCTGGGGCTCCTTACAATACTAAACGTTGCTACCTCACTAAAATGTCTATGCCTTCCACCTATGGAACCACTTCCGGATTTAAGGCTGCGGGAGAGATATTAACTCAAAAAAGGCCAGAAGTGTTGTTTTTGGAGGGTTATTGATTCTCTCAACAACAATGTTCTCAGTAAAATATTACATAGTTTCATAGTGAAGCATGGGAATTCAGCTAGTGTGTATATGTATGATCTGTCCCCAGCACTTCCAGACCTATTTATCTCTTTGCAGTTCTATGAATTCATGATTGACCCACATCAGTAAGTAAATTTCCCAATTGAATGGGTATTTGAGCATGGATCTCACTAGATATGTGTACTGAAAAAGAATAATTAATGTAAGAGGTTAAATAAGGATTATGGCATCTCTGTCATGTTTTATTGTAATATACATGCTTTTTGCTGTTTTTTTTTAATGTGTAGCCATTTTATAAACCATAATTAAAGCAACCATTTTATGTGAACCTTACATTTGCCAATGCCAAAACAAGCACTGTGGAGAACTGAGAATCACAAGCAGTATTGAAATGCAAAGCAAACCAAGCCAATAATCAAAATCATCTTAGTTCCTCTGGAGAACCCCTATTTTGTCCAGCTCAAAATTCTTTCCCTGTTTTCCCCCCTTGCCTGTTACCTGCAGGGGAAGAAGAGTATTGGAGTTCTCCAGCACTAATAAGATTTTCATTGTTACCTTGGTCTGCTTTGCATTTCAATGCTGCATGTGATTCTCAGTTGTCCACAGCGCTCTCTTTGGCATCCTAAACTTTTATGACTGGTTTCCTATGGCTCCCAAGGATTTAGGATGTGGGAACATCAACAGGCCAGAGACCCCAAGGGAGCAAGCTTCATTCATGCAAGCCAGACTGCATCCAAGCATGCCCAGTGTCTATTTTATGGCTGAAGGAAGAAATTTTAAGTCTCTAAAATGCTAAATGCCATGTGCTTCTGTAAATTGTCCTGCAGAGGAGTCTCCATTAGGACAAAGCTGGAGAGAACATACGGAGCAGAGACTAGAAAAAGGAGGCTTAGAAAGAGCGGGTGACTGCCTATATATGACAAGAGAAACATAAACTCCCCAAGGTGAGATTCCAAAGGGTTGTAAAAGTAGATGCAAAAATCTATGGAAGGTTGCCATACTCTGTTTGAAATGCGTACCTTTTTAAATCTGAAATGTTTAAAGTAATATACAAAACAAAATAATTTTACAAACAGGTTCAGACAAACACTTAATTCACAAGAGCATAGTAAATTGTGGGGGAGGAAGGGGAGGCACGATGCACTCAGTCTAGCAAGGTTTTCTTATTACCTTCAATCTCAAATATAAAAAAAAATATTAGAATTTTCCTGTGGACTTGATTTCTTGGTTTGGTCTACCAAATGGGGCTGGACCTGAGGGACTTTCTTTTCTTTTTTTTTAAGTTTTTATTGTTTTTTGACATACAAACAAACAGACAAAACATAAAAACATCAGCTCCCCCATATTTATATACAAACAATGAGTCGGTTGGTTCATCAGTTTTGTGCATTCATTTCATAGTCACAATTACAATTACCTTATATAATAACTCTTATTGTCAATACAAACTTATAAATCATCATATCATTATTAAAAAAAAGAAGTTTGACTATACTTTTATTCGATCATGCCTTTGTGAGATAACTATATTTTAAGTAATTTATTCTAAAACAAATCATATAGTCGTGCCAGTTCTATCCTAAATAAGAGAAAAAAAGGAAAAAGAAAACTATTATATAAATATAATATCCAATACCAAAAAAGAGAAAAAAAAATGAAATCAATATTATTCCTTATTGTCTAACATTTCAAAAATTCTATTTTTGTATTTCATCATTCAACCATTGATAGAAAAGATCCCAAACTATATAAAATTGTTTATCTTCTTGCTCTCTGATTTCAAAAGTCAATCTACTCATCTCAGCACATTCTAATATTTTCTTTATAACTTCTTCCTGCAATGGAATTTTCTCATTTTTCCAATTTTTTGCAAATACAATCCTAGCTGCAGTCAATACATTTACAATCAAATATTTCAACTCTTTACTATAAATATCTGGTAAGATTCCCAATAGGAAAAGCTCCGGTTTCAAGTCTATGTGCTTCTTTGTCATTTTTTCCAACCACATGTGGATTTTAGTCCAATATTTTCTAGCATCCTCACAAGTCCACCACATATGGTAGTATGAACCAGGTTTCTGATGACATTTCCAGCATTTTTCGGATTTGTTCTTGAACATTCTTGCTATCCTTGTCGGGGGAAAATGCCACCTGTAAAACATCTTATACAAATATTCTTTATAGGCTGTAGACATTGTCATTTTATAGTTTTGCAACCATAATTTCTGCCATTTCTCTAAGTCAATCCCATATCCAAAATTCCTCCCCCAAGCAATCATAGTTTCTTTAACTTGTTCTTCCTCCAGCTTAATTTCCAATAAGTAACCATATAATTTTTTAATCACCTTTTCATCAGTACCCATCAAAATCTTGTCTAAATCAGTTTGTTTATCATAAAATCCCTCTGTTTTGGAATCCTCATGATACTTTGAATGTATTTGCAGATATGAAAACCAATTCATCTGTATGCCTTGTTCCTCTAATTTTTGCATCGATTTAAGTTCACCCTTTTCATCTAGTAATTCCCCATAGCTAACTGTTTGTTCCTTTTTATAGATTATAGGGTAAGAAAACGCTTCTATCGTCGATAACCAAACTGGAATTTTCAAATAACATTGTTTTTTTATCTTCTCCCAATTTAGCCACAGAGACTCCCGTATATAATGTCTTCTAAAATACCCCTGTGTTTTGGTTCCCTTATACCATAAAAAAGCATGCCAACCCAACAACAAATCATGACCTTCTAATGTCAACAATCTAGTTTTCCTTAATGTTATCCATTCTTTAACCCACATCAAGTTTGCAGCTTGGTAGTACAACTCCCAATTAGGCAGGCCAAACCCTCCTCTAGATCTGGCATCCTGTAAAAGCTTTAACTTTATCCTTGCTTTCTTGCCTTGCCATATATACTTCAAAACAATTTTATTTAAATCCTCAAAATATTCTTTTCCAAGCCTAATTGGTATTGTTTGGAACAAAAATAAAATTCTGGGTAGAATGTTCATCTTAATTGTTGAAATCCTTCCTATTAATGACAATTGTAGGTTTTCCCATTTTTTCAGATCTT